GAACCAGGGAGTGGGGCCTCACTGTCCTTCCTGGAGGTGGACGCTCCCAAGCCCAGGCCCGCCTCAGGGGCCGGGGGTCAGCACACCTGGGGTGGGCAGGGGCTGGGGCTGGAGGCCTAGCGTGGGGAGGTGGGAGCTGCCTGTGGAGGCCCCAGGGCGCGGTGAATGGGCTGTTTGTGAGTTAGGAACACCCCAGTATCTCAGGAATGTGGCCCTGCCCACAGCAGGGAAAGAACCAAGCTGAGAGCCGAGAAATCCTAATAAAACACCACTCCCGGGAAACCACTTAAATGAATCACTGCTAAGGTAATAATAACCCTTTTGGCAAATGCATTTTCTCTGCCCCAAGCCAACACATATTCAGTCCCACAAAGGACCCTGTGATGGGTGGTGGGGCAGCCCCCGCCAAGGGGACGTTCTCGCGGCTCTTAAATTCAGTTCCTTTCACAGGGCTGGGCCCGACCAGGAATTTAGAGGACTCTGCTGCTTAATGAAACGTTCCGGGGCTGTATTTATTTAACAGATACATGCATTTATTGGGCTCCTAGACAGAGCAAAATAAGCTTTTAAAAATATCTTTATATTGATCTCATATATAGTTTTTTTTTTTCATTTTAAGCAATTTTGGGGGCTAAGAGAACGGAAAATACCCTGAAGAAGGCTGGCAGCCTGAGGGTATTGAATGAGCCATTGATCATTTTTTTTCCCTATTAAACTCAGCCCCAGGCGATGCTGTTACAACTGGCCAGTGGAAAGGCTGAGGGTGAAAAAAATCAGTTCACCTTTTCTGCACTTGGCCATCTCAGGCTGGGGGCGGGGGTAGGATGGGGGTGCTCCCCCTCCAGCTGCCCCCTCCAGCTGAGACTCCCTGCTCTGCTGCAGGAGGACCTCCCTGGAGGTGGTTCTGGTGATCCAGGCTCTGGTGACGCTCTCTCCCGACTCAGACCCATCTGGGGTCACCTGGAGGGCCTCACTCTTCGCTCAAGCCTCAGTTTCCTTATGTTTAAAATTAGGGGGAAAGGCTATTTAAGCCAGCAAGCCTGAAGCCCCTGACTGCCACGAGCCCCTCCCACGCCCGCCCTGGACAACACCGTGCGTCCGTGGGAAACGTCACCGTCACTGAGGACAGACGCAGCTTCAGGGGCGCCCTCTGGCTGTGCAGGAGGTGAACCCTGTCAGCCATCAGGACAGCCGGTGGTCCGCTGGTTCACGCACACAGTCACTTTCATGGCTCCTTTTCCGTCCACTCAGTGCTGTGGGGGGCAAAGGTCACCATGACTCACAGCCCCAGCTTGTCTGTTAAGCCGGAGTGACTGGAGGTCAGACGAAGATACGTGATGAAGGTTCTTACGAGTAAAGCAGGCGGTTATAGGGAGGGCAAAAATCTCCTGGGCATTTATTAGGAGAAATAAAATAATGACATTCCTTTATTTACTTAACAAGTACCCATTGCTGGCCTGTGACAGACAGCCCAGTCTGGGCTCTGTAAGAAACAGGAGTGTGGATTAGGTGCGGATTGTGTGCACCGTGAGCATTCGTGTGTGCCTCTGTGTGCAAGTACACGCACACTCACGTCCTGTGCTGGGGCTACTGACAAGGAGCTGGTCGCTTTCCCAGAAATATGCATGGATTCTCACTCAATTTTTCACCACTTCTTACACTGAGTGGCGTTTATCAACTGCTGCTTAAAAACAAGAACAGGTGACCAAACTCCTTAACTATAATACGAAACGCTTCTCTGGTGGCTCAGCGGTGAAGAATCTGCCCGCCAATGCAGGAGACAAGGGTTCGATCCCTGAGTTGGGAAGATCCCCTGGGGGAGGAAATGGCGACCCACTCCAGTATTCTTCCTTGGGAAATCCCATGGACAGAGGATCCTGGCAGGCTACCGTCCATGGGGTGGCAAAGAGTTGGACACGACTGAGCAATACACACACACATGTATCTGAGTATGTAGTCAGGTGATGGTAAAGACTGATAGGATAGCATGACATTAGCCTTAACAGTATGTGTATGTCTATATAATATGTGTACAGCCTAGCCACATATACATACCTACACACATGTTGTAATTTTTCTGACAGTATTTGCGATGACTGCTCATTGTACAAAATTTGGTAAACACAGAATATATGAAGAAGGAAGTATAAACCCAGTTACCCACCTTGCTGAGAAATACTGTGAAGAGTTTTATGTGTTTTCTTCCAGGATTTTGTGGCATGCACACTCATGTAATTGTGTCCTGTGGGGCCCAGTGTCCAGGCCCATCTGTGTCCAGATGCTGGCACTTGTCTCCAAGCCCTGAGGGCCTGGGGTCCCTGCGATGTTGGATGCTCTCCCAGGGAGATCTGCAAGTTGCCTGTGATGCAGGAGCCCCATTGCTTGTTCTCACACAGCCCATGGGCTTCGAGGCCACTTCAGACCTTTGTCCCTGGGCCTGGCACCCTTTGTTACTGGACCAACCTTGCCCGCCATGTAGCAAAGCCAACTTACTGACACTGTGTTGTGTGAAGAAAAGTACAGTGTTTATTTGCAGGGCAACAAGCAAGGAGAATGGACAGGTCATCCTCAAAAGACCCAACCCCCTCACTGATTTTCAGGGAAGGGGTTTTAAAGGCAACATTTGGGATGAGGGCTGCAGCTCATGGACCCTTCTTCTGATTGGTTGGTGGTGAGGTAATAGAGTGGTGTTTTGGGATTTTTGACCAACAGTCTTCTGGTTCCAGCCAGTCTGGGGTCTGCATGCTTGTGGTGAGTATGTGGTCACCATCCCCCACCTGGGTGGGGGTCCCAGTTTCTGCAGAACAACTCAAAGGTACACATCAGATTGTTATGCATGTTCTATGAGGAGGACCTGGGACTCTGATTGTTGTTTAAGCTGTCATTACTTTTCTTGCTTAACTGCTTTTTCTCTGTTTCCCCACTCCCTCACTTCGCTAATTAGTAACTGCTTGAGTCTGCTCTTTGGAACTCAGGGAAGACCTATGGGATCACAGCCTTTTTCTGCAAACAGGAAACATGGGACACAGAGGTGTTTCTGTGCTTAGGAAGGTCCTGCTTTGTTTCAATCCCCGCTTTTCTCTGATTCTCTGCAGTCTTGAGGGGGATAGGGTTAGGATAAGAAAGGGAATAAAGTTTTGGATAGAGAGGTTCACAAACCAGCAAGGGAATCTTGGTTTCTGGGGACTTGGTTTCACCTTTGCCTTGGTGTCCTTGGCTTGGCTCCTCCCTGCTCCGTGGCCTCCTTTTTCAGCATGCTGGTCGGCAGCAGGGCCTTTTCTGGACCCCATGCTGCTGCCACTGACAGAGGTGTATTTTCTCTACATCCAGAGTGGACCCCGGGTCACTGAGCTTGGCCGGCTATATAATTTGCAGGCCTCAGTGCCAGGTGAAAACACAGGGTCCCTTGTTCAAGAAGTAGGAAAAAAAAAAAAGCTTTTCCTGTGGTTTCTCTCTTGACCTGTGACCATGTGTTTTTACTGCAAGTGCAGACCCTCACAGGAGCCCCGGGCCCACCCTGTGACTTGGCACCTGCCCCTGGCCCTCCCGGCAGGTCGCTGGGCTGGGGAGCCATGCCCTCATTTGTCCCACTGGACTTCATCTGCCAAACACAAGTCCAAGGGGAAGTGGTGAAGTGTCAGGAGGGCGCCGGCAGAGCAGTACCGCTGTGGTCAGAGCCCCCTGCCAAGCGCAGGGTGCCCTGTGACCTCGTAGTCACACCCCAGGGGGCTGCCCCAGTGGTTGAGGAGGGGCAAAGCCCAGGAGGACTCTGACCGAACGGTGCCTGGCTGCACCGCAAGGTTGGCATCGGCTCAGGCCTGGGACCTGGGGCGGCAGGGAGGACTGCCCAGGGCCCCCCCAGGCAAACGGTCGTTACTGGCCTGAGGCCAGAGCCTGCCCTTTCCTGACACCAGAGCAAAAGCAATTTCTCTAAAACGTGTGGGTTTACTGGCTCATCGTATTATTCTGCTCTTCTGTCCTTTCGATACTTCTTTCAAAAAACCCCCTTCAGCACAAGTGTAGGTGGGGTTATGGGAGGAAGGCAGGGAGAGGTTTGGGGTGTCTCACCTCATCTGTAGACAGTTCCCTCACCAACGCTGTCGCAAATCGTTAGCCCTGGGTTCAGACAACTTATGTGACAGGTGAGCCCTCCTGTAACTGCTGTGTTTAAAGGGCCCAAGAGAGGGCTGCCCCAGGGGCGCCCAGCTGGGCCCCGACTGCACATTCATTACAAAACTGTTTAAAAGAAACTGCCTCGGGGCCCACCCCACTCCCGGGGGAAGTGGATGGAGCAAATGCAGAGGGATATCCAGATAGGAAACACCTGTCCCCGCCTGGAGCCGGCCCGCCATTGTTTTATATATTTGTGTTTTCCTTTCAGTTCATTCAAACTCAATATCGAGGTGAAATTAAGTACATCATCGACCTAAAGCTACCAAACCAAATACATAAATGGTGGGATTTAAAAACCGTGCTGCCGCGGGGCTGGGTCTGGCCTGTGGCCAGTCTGGGCTCGTGTACAATGGGGCAGTGTGTGCTTCGGGCCCGCCAGCTCGGCCAGACCGCAGGCACCCCGGGTGGCCCGGCCGGGATCGCGTCCGAGGAAGGTGGGGGCGAGGGAGCCGGGGGCAGGGGGGCTGCAGGGGGCTCTAACCTGCAGACGGGAGCCCCCAAGCTGGCTGTCGTCAGGGGGCCTCGGGGCCAACAGTGTGGGGAGAGGGGCGCCGGACCTGCAGGGGGAAGGTGTGGAAATCTGACACAATCGCCAATGTTTTACCTTCTAAATCACCTGGGTCTCTGCAGTTGAAATGCATCCTGAACTTCCCACCCCACATGTCTCGGGCGGGGGGACCCCAGGCGACTTCTCACTTTCCAAACTCACAAGTCGTAATTCTTTCTCCGGGGGCAACCGGTCACGGACTGAGCTCTGGGCGCGCTGCTGAGACGCCGTGAAAATCCTGGAAGTGTCCCGGGACCCTCCCCTCTCCTGCTTTCCGCAGGGAGCAGGCTGAATCCCCGGCGGTGTTTCTAGAGCTGGTCCTGTTGAGGTGGGTTTTTCCAGAGCCACTTCTGGTTGCAGAGGGGCTCCTGTCACTCAGGTGTGACTCATGGCCCACCTTCAGCCCAGCAGGTTGGCCTGTCACCTGTGCCCTCCTGTGTGCAGTGGCATCCTGTCCGAGCTGGGCGGACCCAGTCCCCAGCACTTTGTCAGCTGTCCATGAGGCCTGGATGCCCCACTGGGGACAGGACTGGACCCGTGACCCTGCACGCAGTGCCCGTGGGCTGGGTGGCTGCTGGTCTCAGGGTCCTCATGGGCACAGGCCCCGTCCAATCTCTCTCCTGTCTCTTCTCTGTTATCAGCCTCTCCTCCAAGTCCATGTCAACCACAGAAAGGCTGCTTCCAGGAGAGGTGCATTCGTGTCCTGGGCCCCTGGAAAAATCGAACTGATTATGGATTGATCACGGCCCATTCTATATTGGCTCTTGAGCGTTGGGTTCTCCCACCCTTTCCTGGACCCAGGTCCAGACTAACAACTCACGTGGTTTCCATCTTCCCTGCAGATCCCTGACCACTGACCTGGAGGGGATGCCTCCCTCAGACTCCTCCTGCCACCATGGTTATCAGTGACTCTCTTGGTCCGCTCTCCAGCCACAGAGTGTGGCAGGCACTATGCCCCCATCTCTGGGGGGACTGGGACGGTTAAAACCCTTCTTCCAATGGCCTAAGCCTCTCTATGTCATCCCTTGTTCTCTGTGATAAATTAAGACCTGGACACAATGCACAAATGACCACAAAATTCGCGGGCTTAAAATAACACAGATTTATTCTCCATACAGTTCTGGAGGTGGGGAGTTCCGAGTGAATGCTTCCTGGGGCCCTCAGGGGAAGACATGCCTCCTTGCCTTTCCCAGTCTCTAGAGGCTCATGACCCCTTCCTCCCGCCCACCTGGCCTCCCATTTCTGCATGTGCTAGGTCGTTTCAGTCTTGCCTGACTCTGCGACCCTAAGGACTGTAGTCCGCCAGGCTCCTCTGTCCATGGGCTTCTCCAGGCAAGAATACTGGAATGGGCTGCCATGCCTCCTCCAGGGATCGTCCTGACCCAGGGATTGAACCCGTGTCTCCTATGTCACCTGTGTTGGCAGGTGGGTTTTTTACCACCAGTGCCACCTGCCTCTCACTTAGGTTGTCCCATCTGCAGCCACCAGACTGTGGTCGGCTGAGTAACGGCCCCCAGGGATATCCCCAGCCTAATCCTTGGATCCCGTGAGGTGACCTTCTGTGCAAGAGGGTCTTTGCAGCACGTTTAGGTTCAGGATCTTGGAATGGGGAGTGTCCTGCTGTATCTGGGATGCAGGGACCTCTGGAAGGGGAAAGGCAAGGAGATGGTTCTCGATGGAGGTACGCAGCCCTGGCGATAACTTGATTTTAGCCCCATGAGTCTGATTTTGCATTTCTGAGCTCCAGACTGTAGGATAATCAATTTGTGTTATTCAGAGCCGCTAAATGTGAGGTACTTTGTTCAGCAGCAGTAGGAAATTAATACAGGTGCTCCTGGAATGTAGGGGAGGCAGGTTAGTTAAAAAGGGTGAGGGAGGAGGGGACTTGGCTTGAAGCTGTCTATACTGAGCGCATGAGCTGTTTTCACCTAGAATTGAGGTCCATTCAGGATTAACATGGCTTCACCATGTGTGTGTGAGATGAAGACTCAAGACTGATATCTTACTCTCACAACCCACTCCCGTCTCCTGGACTTTAGCTGAAGATTCTCCATATCTACTTTGGCTTGAGCTTGATATTTTCCTAGGTTAAAAAAACCTTATGTCTATAAATGTTTAGTTGTTCTGTTCATCATTTACAGGTGCAGAGAGTTTAAAGCGTCGACACAGGTCTTCACAAGTCCTCTCCTGCAGTTCCTCACTCTTGCGGCCAGTTCAGCTGGTGTTGACCCGGATAACACTGAGCAACATGTTTATGTGGGTACTTCCTGATTTTTCAAATCTGTCGACTCTCCATGTAGGGTACTGGCTCTTTGGGGCCTTCACTTGCATCCTGTCCCCCCACACAGACACACAGATGGACACATACACACTTACACACACGGACACACACACAAGCATACATATAGACCCACACACATTATACATACATAGACACACAGATGGACACACACACACTTATACACACACACACGGACACACACATGAGCATACACATAGACCCACACACCTTATACATACATAGACACACACAGACACATGCACAGTTACACACGCACAGACACAGATGGACACGCACACTTACACACAGATGCACACATGCGCACACCTCTGGTTCTTCCTCCTTCTAATATGGATGGCATCATTTGACTAAGATGAGTAGCCCATGTTTACTATTCACAGCTAAGCCATGAAGAGCAGTAAGTTTAATTCCTCTTGTTTTCTTTTGGGTTAATGGTTGCTTTTTTTTTTTAAATGTATTTTACCCCTTATCACAGTCTCAAACTCTCTCTCCCAGTGGTATAAACGCTGCTTCTCGGTTTCATCTTCTTGGAGAAGGATCCATCCCTCGTTACACATGCAGCTGCCCACTCTAGGCGTCCATGGGATGGATGGCTTGATTCTCGGCCAACCTAGCTCCTGGCTCCTGGGAGACTTGGCAGATTCGGTTCCTGGATCTGCCACGCTGGTCCTGCTTGTCCATCCCTTGTTGCTGTTGTTGCCTCTGCTGGTTCTCCCCGCCTTTGTGGATTTATGCCATCAAAACACATTCTCTGCCCTCCACGCTGGGCCTCTAGAGGGGTGGTTGACGCACCTCTGTCCTTTGTTGTCATGACATCTTTGATGGGAGCTCTTCCCTGCCTCTTCCGACGGGTGAGCCTCCCCTGCCGCGTGTCCACTGTACAACAGCAATGGCGGTGATCCGTCCGGTACCGACTGCCGTACGGTGCCAGGCTCTGCCTTCACTTCATGCAGCCTCCCCGGAAAGTGGGGCCTCAGGCCCCAGTGTTTAGATAAGAATAAGGGGGCCTAGGTTGGACTTCAGGTCCCCCAGATGCTGAGTGGGCAGAGCTGGGCGTGGGACCCTTGTCCTCTGCTTCTGACTGTGGACTCCTTTCTTTCTTAATTCTAGCTGATGGAGCTGAGTGTGTTTGCACTATGCTGCCCAGAGTGTCACTTGCTGGGAGGGTGGGGGTGTGGAAGTGCCCACCTGACGGATTAGAGAGGATCCCCAATGAGGGGAGGGCTGTGTCCACTGTCTACCCCGGCCACTCCGTGTGGGGGTCAGCTCAGAGGACCCCAGAAGCTGCCCCCACTTCACTGCCTTCTTTGTGTGTTTTCTTAACTTTTTTCAGTGGAAACTCTAGATACTTAAAAAAAAATAAGCCTCTCTTCTTACTGTTTGGTTACCATATCATTGGTAGAGTATTAAAAAAAGCCCTCCAAACTATAGCTTTCACATGCCCGACAGAGAAGATTGATTTTAAAAGGTGAGTCTGTGTTTTTGTGCTGTGTGCACTTATGCAAACAAACTCAACAGCCTTGGCAAACCCGGGTGCACTTTTGTTCTGTATTTATGTCTAATACTGACGGTTTTGTGGGAAAGCTACATTTTTACGATCCTGAAGTACCTATTTCTTTCCCCCGTGTACAGTGTAATTGCGTCTTATTTATTGCACTGGGTGTTAGCACTCATAGTTCATTAAGAAATTCTCTCCAGGGCTTGTTGGGGCTGGTGCGTGGACAGAGGTAGAGTTAATATCCAGACCTGACGGCGGGGACAAGAGGTGACTCCATGTTCTGGGGATGCACCAACAACACCCAAGCCCCACGGGCCCCATCCAGACAGGTCTCACCTCCGAGCCTCTGGACCCCAAGACTCTCGGGACTCATTTCTCAGCTTGAAGAGTGAGGTGGAGCTCAGAGCTGTTTCTTTTCTGGCACTGACTCTGCAGCAGCCGTACGAGGGCCTCCTGGGCAGCGTGAGGCTCAGCCAGGCCCGAGGGGAGGGAAGGCTACTGGCTACCCTCGGAAGTGGCAGCACCTGAAGGGAGCGAGCTGACCCTTCCCCGGGGTAGGAAACCCATGAGGGGTCAGCTCCACACTCGTCCTAATGCCCTCAAGGGCCCTGGCAGGGAGCAGGGACATTTGGTGACATTCATCACCAGCTCTCCCAGAAAGTGAGCAGGACCCCCACTCCAGAGGCAGGTGTAAGGTTTGGCTCAGCGTGGCTCTTGTTTCAGGAGCAGGGGACCCTGGTGGGGAGATGCGTAGATCAGGTGGGGTGTGGCCGGAGTCCAGGTTCTCTTCCTCTGGAGAAAGACCTCTGGTGGCACAGATGTTTGTGGGGGCTGGGTGGGCACTCTCCACCTGGAGCTGGGGAGGCTTGGGTGGACAGAGGGTGCTCTTGCCCAGGCCCCCGTGAGGGTGGCACTGATGACCCCGTTAGAGCACGGTAGGCCCTGGTCCCTGGGCACTTCTGGACTTGGAGGACACCTTGGCCAGCTCTGGGGTCAGCTTCTGTGTTTTTCTGGCAATGCTGGGTGTAGGGTAGTGAGGGAGGGGCAGCTGGACTCCAGAGCTCCACCAGGACATCCTCGTCTCCGTCTTGGAGAAGGTCTCCTTGTCTGGGTTGGTGGCCACCCTCTTTCTGGTGTCAGGGCAGCTGCTTTGGGTAGCCGTGAGCGAGCTGTGGTCTGTGGGACTCACCCTGGCCCTGGCTCCAGCTCCATCGCTGTGTACACCATGCTCTGCTCTGCGCAGATGGCCTCAGCGGGTACCACCCTAACACCTGGAACTGGAGAGCTTAGCTCTGGAAAAGCATCTCTTCTGAGTGTAGTTCAGTTGAGGGTCTTCAGAGATCATCCTGGATTATCTAGGTAGCCTGAAGCCAATGACAAGTGTCCTTAGAAGACAGATGAGGGGAGAAGTAGACTCGCAGAGAAGGTGACATGAGCCTGGGAAGATGGAGCCACACCCAGGAGCACCAGTAATCACCAGAAGACAAGGAGGGACTCTCCCCGCTTTCCACCTGAACCTCCGGGGGCAGCATGGCTGAAGTCCCTGTTTCCTGGCAGGTCTTGCACTTTTCCAAAGAGAATTAGAAAACCCAAAGTGTAATCAGTCGGGTCACACGAAAAATATAATGAGAAATGTGGGTAGCCTCCCTGGTTGACAGCCAGCCAGGACATAAATAGAGAGAAAGTATCCAGATTGGAGAGGAAGAAGTAAAACAGTCTCTATATACAGATGGTGTGATATAAGGCATGTCAAAGAATCTGTGGCCATCTTTAATCCATCCAGTTTGCCCTGGCTGGAACCTCTACTACAAAGTATTGCAGACAAGTAAGAGCAGCTGTTCCTGAGTTTAGGCAGAAAGCATTCAGTCTTTAACCATCAAGTATAATTTAGCTGTGGGCTTTTTGTAGATGCCTAAGGTTGGAGAAGCTCTCTTTGTTCCTCATTTGCTGAGTGTTCTTATTACAAAAGGATGTTGGATTTTGTCAAGTGCTTTTTCTGCATCTGTGGTGATGATCATGTGATTCTTGCTTTTATACTATTGATATGATGTATTATGGTAATTAATTTTGAGATGTTGAACCAGCCTTGAATTCCTGGGACAAATCCCATTTCATCATAGTGTGTAATTCCTTTATATATTTCTAGATTTGGTTTAGTATTATTTTATTGATGATTTTTATGTATGTATTCATATGAGACATTGGTCAGTGGTTTTCTTTTCTTGTGATAGCTTTCAACTTTGGTATCAGGAAAACAATGGCCTTGTAGAATGAGTTAGTAAGTATTCTTTCCTCTTCTATTTTTTGGAATAGTTTCTGAAGAACTGGTATTAATTCTTCTTTTAATGTTTGGCAGCATTCACCAGTAGGAGCCACCTGAGCCTTTGTGGACAGTTCTTTGATTACACTTTGATCTCTTCACTTGCTAAAGATCTATTCAGATTGTCTTTCTATTTGAGTAAGTTTTGGTAGTCTGTGTCTTTCTAGGAATATGTCTACTTCACCTAAGTTATATAACTGATTGGCACATAACTTATATATGTATATATACACACCATAGTTCCTGGCATGTGATAGTTCTTTTAAACATTTTATTTCTGCAAGGTCAATAATAATGTCTCTTTCATTTTTTAAAAATAAATTTTTATTGGAATATAGTTGCTTTGCAATGTTGTGTTAGCTTTTTGGTGTACAGCAAAGTGAATCAGTCATATGTATATGTGTATTCCCTCCTTTTAAGATTTTCTTCCCATTTAAGTTCCCTGAGGTGTACTGTAGGTTTTCATTAGTTATCTATTTTATACATAGTAGTGTATTCTTCTTTCATTTCTGATTCTAGCAATTTGAACCTTCTTTCTCCTTCTCTCTTATTTTTAAAAAGTTAATTTATCTAAACGTTTGTCAATATTGCTAATATTTTCAAAGAACCAGCTTTTGATTTCGCTGATTTTTCTCTATTGTTTTTCTATTCTCCATTTCACTAACTTCTATTCTAATCTCATTATTTCTTCACTTTTGCTTGCTTTAGGTCTAATTTGTATCTTAAGGAGGAAAGTTACTGATTTGGGGTTTTTCTTCTTTTTTAAAAAATTGAGGTATAACTGACATGTAATGCTGTATTAGTTTGGGTGTACAACATTGTGAATTGATATATATATTTATGTTGTAAAATGATTACAACAATAAGTTTTGTTAGCATTTATCACCATAAAGTTTCATTGTTTCCCTTTGTGGTGAGGACTTTTACGATTTACTCTCTTCAGTTCAGCCGCTCAGTCGTGTCCGACTCTTTGCAACCCCATGAATAGCAGCACGCCAGGCCTCCCTGTCCATCACCAACTCCCGGAGTTTACTCAAACTCATGCCCATCGAGTCGGTGATGCCATCCAGCCATCTCATCCTCTGTCGTCCCCTTCTCCTCCTGCCCCCAATCCCTCCCAGCATCAGGGTCTTTTCCAATGAGTCAACTCTTCACATGAGGTGGCCAAAGTATTGGAGTTTCAGCTTCAGCATCAGTCCTTCCAATGAACACCCAGGACTGATCTCCTTTAGGATGGACTGGTTGGATCTCCTTGCAGTCCAAGGGACTCTCAAAAGTCTTCTCCAACACCACAGTTCAAAAGCATCAATTTTTCGGCGCTCAGCTTTCTTCACAGACCAACTCTCACATCCATACATGACCACTGGAAAACATAGCCTCAACTAGACGGACCTTTGTTGGCAAAGTAATGTCTCTGCTTTTTAATATGCTGTCTAGGTTGGTCATAACTTTCCTTCCAAGGAGTAAGTGTCTTTTAATTTCATGGCTGCAATCACCATCTGCAGTGATTTTGGAGCCCCCAAAATTAAAGTCTGACACTGTTTCCACTATTTCCCCATCCATTTCCCATTTACTCTCTTAGCAACTTTCAAATGTATAATACAGTACTATTAGCTATTATTTCTGTGCTGTACATTACATCCCCAGGACTTGTTATAACTGGGAGTTTGTACTTTCTGACCTTCACCCATTTTCCCATCCCCTACCCTGTTCCTCTGCTCACCACCAGAGATCTTTATTCTTAACATAGGCATTTACAGCTATACATTTCCTTTTGGGCACTGCTTTTGCTGCAACCTAAAGGTTTCCATAGGTTGTGTCATTATTTTCGTTCATATCAAAGTATTTATAATTTCCCTTGTGATTTTTTTTGTTGACCAATTGGCTATGTGTTGTTTATTTCCTTCACTGTGGTTTTTTTTTTTTTTTTTTTTTTTTACTGTATGCAGTATGAAGTTGCAGCCTTTCCTGATTTCGGAGTGATTTTTTTTTCCTTTAAAAGATTAGTATGGTGGATTAAAGATGCCCATAAATTTTTTGAGATTTCTCTTATTAAAAGGTGAGGTCTCTGGCTCCCCTTCCCCTCAGTCTGGACAGGCTCTATGACTGTTTTGGCCAACAAGATACAGGAGAAATGAGGCTACATGACATAAGGCCATAAGGCCAGATTGGAAGCAACTTTGCAGCATGTGCTTTGGAATCTTGGAATGCTTGCTTGGGAGGGGGTCAGGGTAGATAGCCACTAGGTAAGAAATCCAGCTTATAAGAAATCGGCCATACTGTGAGGATGCTCAGCTAGACATGTGGAGGAGCTACTGAGGAAGTGCTGACCATCCCTGTGTTAGTTTGTCCAGGCTGCCATTACAAAGCACTGCAGAACACTGGGGAGCTCAAACAATAGAAATTTGTTTTCTTCCTAGGGAAACTAGTTCTAGAGCCTGGAAATCTGGGATCAGGGTGTCAGCATGGTCGGTTTCTGGTGATAGCTCTCTTTCTGGCTTGTAGATGACCCCCTTCTCACTGTGTCCTCATATGGCAGAGAGAGAGAGAGCAAGCTCTTTGTTGTATATTCTTGGAAGGAAATGAATTCTGTCCAATCAGGTCCTCACCCTTATGACCTTAGTTAACTTTAGCTACTTCCTTAGAGGTCCCATCTCCAAATACAGCCACACAGAGGGCTAGGGCTTCAATATATGAATTCTGGGGGGACACAGACATTGAGTCCATAACAAGTACTTAGCTGCTCCAGCCATCCCATTCTGGGTTCCAAGTAGGTGACAAAAGAAGTCACTTTGATAGTTTGAGCCCCAGGACATAATCTGGTTGAGCCACCCCCGCCCTCTCTTGCTATCTGAGGCATGGTGGCAAGGCTGTGGACGTTGTACAGCAAGGATGTGCTTTCTTCATTGTGTCTGCACTGATTCCTGATCTGCAGAATTATGAACAAAACAAAATGACTTTACTCTCCCAAGTTTTGGTATGATTTACTGCACAGCAAGTGGAAATGGGAACAGTGAATTTGTCGCATTTATATTTATTGTTATTGTAACAATCAATTCCCTTTAATGGATCACACCCTTGTCATGGCAAAGAGGCTGGCATAACTCAATGAAGCTATGAGCCATGCCATGCAGGGGCATCCAAGATGGACGGGTCATAGTGAAGAGTTCTGACAAAACGTGGGCCACTGGAGGAGAGAATGGCAAAC